GTAACAGATCTTTTTCTTTTCATTTATTCTTTCTTGGTTTCCAAATATCTTCTCCACATCCACTACGGAATACAACCGTAAATTATCGTTCAAAATACCCGGGGGTTGTATTCTATTATTTTTCGTTTATTGGGATTGCATGTAGGTGAGAATCAGGTGATTGATGATTAAAAAGTAAAGTGATGCGAGGGGCCACTGTATGAATTGGCCAAATTCGGATTGCATTACTCGGATTTGTTTTCGGGCTGTTCAAAGATTTGCGCATCGTTATTGGTCTTTGCCACTGTCATGTAACTTATGCCACGTTTAGATCCCGTGCGGGTGGGAAATCGTGAGATGCGTGAGCGTAGATTGGGAAAAATTTTGTTGGGGACTATTATCAATATTTGTATGCAAATGTGTGTTCCCGTTTCTCGTAATTGGTTCAAATATCATGAATAATTTCGTGGCAAAGATAGATTTAAAAGATCGAGAATAACCAGCATTTATATGTGGTTAATGGCATAATATTGTACCTACATTCAAACATCATTATGTTTTTTAACCTATTATTTATTGGCATTAATATTATTATATAAAAATATTTTTGCTGTCGTGACTCTTTCCATCGTTGTTAACAAACTATCTATTAGTAACTATTAGTTGTATTGCTGTTGCCGCTGCTCCCTTTTTTGTTGTGCATGATATCATATCATATTCAAACGTCTTGTTCGTTCTCCTTCCTTTCTCCTTTTATTATTTATTATTATTTTTTGTTTCTACTTCTTTCCCTTTAGAGAGGGTATCATTTCACACACACACACACACACACAAACACACACATATATAAAAATACATTCATATATATATATATATCATAAATATATATAAAAGGCCTTTTGCTTATGGCAAACGGTGAAAAAAGATTAATGCAAGAGGATAGAATGGAAAAAAGAAAAGTTTTCAAGAGACGTCAGACAGGTACAACGTCCAAAGACGACTTTGAGGTATTCACTAATTTTTTATTATTTTAGTTGTTGTATACGTTTAATAAATTAGTTCTAATTATAATTATACTTAGCTTATTCAATCTCCACCAAGCTCACCCAAATTAACACCAAAATCAACACATTTGACGCCGTCTTCAGTTGAAGCACCATCACAATTGCAAACCCCTCTCTCAACTCCACCATCTTCGCGATCTCCCTCACCCATTCCACCAGAAACTCCCTTTCTTATCCCTTTACCTGTTTCACGGCCTTCTTCACCGATTACCACAACTACTATTCCTTCAGCCACTATACTTCCATTCAGAGATCCACCAATAACGCAACAAATTCACCCACCTATTAACAATGATAATAACAACAATTTTATAGTTTTATCTGTTTTCGATCATGATGAAGTGTTTTTAGACGATGAATATTCGCGATTAACAAATGTCACTGCTATCAACAACAACAACAACAGCAACGACAACATCAACATCAACAACAACAATAATAATAACGACGATGACAATAATAATAATAACAATAACAACAGTAGCAATAATTTATCATTAATTACTACCACTTTAATAGATAGCAGCAACATTCATCACGAACAATCGCCACCCTGTTCTAGGTGTCCACCTGAACTTTTGTTAAATATATTTGAAATATTGCGAGCTATTCATCAGCCTTCTTTATTTTCATGTATATTGGTTAATCGAGAGTGGAACACTTTGGGAACTACTGTTCTTTGGAATAATCCAAAATTTACTCATATACGATCATTGGATAAATTCATAAAAGTTATAGAAAATCCTCCTTTAACATCATCATCATCATCAACAATCAATACTACTAATTCATCATCATCATCATCATCATCATCATCATCATCATCATCATCACCATCATCATCATCATCGTCATCATCATCATCGTCTTCTTCTATAACTTTCCCAAAGCAACCACAGCGGCCATCTTCATCATCTTCACAACATCAATTATTATCTAATACTGATTTTGACAAATCATCAACAACAACATCGTCATCATCGATACAGAATTCAAATTCATCACCATCACCATCATCACATTCTATTACATCATCGCAGGCTACAACTGTTCCTACTAATACAACTACAACCCTTTTCCATCCATATGCTAATTATATACGTAATTTGGATTTCACATTCCTGACAGAACATGATAGAAATAATTCAACGCTGTCGTCACATCTTCTTCGACTACTCCCCATCATTCATAACGGGAACCTACAAAGCCTGAATCTTAGTTTCGTCAAAGGGATCACGAATAGTTATTTAATGAAATTATTATCACCTTTCTTTGCAAATATACGCACGATAAATCTGGCGGGTGGATCAAGATCTGATGCATGTTTATCCGCGGTAATACCACATTGTCATCAAGTACAAAATCTTTCGTTTGCATGGAACACCTCCCTGTCAGACACATCAATTACAAAAATTGCTACTTTATGTGGGTCACGATTACGCACGCTTGATCTGACAAATTGTGAAAAAGTTAGTGACCGATCAATGTCTTCGATTGCGAAACATTGTAGCAAACTAAGAGAACTACGAGTTAGCTATTGTCGTGGAGTTAGTGAGGTGGGTGTGAGGGAAGTGGTAGATTCGTGTGATGGGTTAACGTTGTTGGATTTGGTCGGGTGTTCGGGTGTGGATCGTGGGTTTTTGATAAAATGTAATGATGAGTTTTCGTTGCAAAGGCGTGGATTGAAAATAGTATGGCGAAGAGATTCTGAGGGTGGTGGAACTGCTACTTGGGCGGATAATTGAATAATAACATATATGATAAAAATAATCATTAAAACATTATTTTTTGAATTAAATATTTATTGGATTTGCTGTGGCGTGTATGGAATATTCAATGATGGTTGTGCATAAAATGAAATCAAACATAATTGAACAATAAAATTATTTATTTTATTAATTTAAATATCTTGCATGTGAAAGGGCAAATTGGTTTTCTTTGTGCGACCATAACAAATAATATTTGACCTAGCCATGACGAAAAAATGTCGAGCGTAAAAAGTTGCCTTCCCGAGATGTGATCGTTAGAACACGGCCTACCTTTCTAGAAGGCCAGTCATGACAATAAAATGTCGGACACTTTGGTTAAAATTTAGAGGTTATAAAGATATATGGTAAATTTTAGCAAAAAAAAGACATTTTGGGCCGGAAATCACATCTTCTGACATTTACCCCTACATCCTGATGCAGTTATGCTTCAAACTAAATTTAGAATCTATTATCAAAAATGGATTTATTGGTTTGTACATTTTTATCGTCATTACGTGACCGAACATTTTTCTTCGCGTATTTCTTTGTTGTATTTTCAAGATAAACTTTTTTGAATTGCTATTTCTTGTCTATTATATATGTATGGAAATATCTTATCTAACAATATGATAATGCTGGCTCTTCTTTGTCTTCGGAGTTGTATTAATTTTCCTTGTTTTAGGATGTTTGAATGTGGTATTTGGAAGTTTTCTCAACGACGCCGAATACGTTGGATGATCGAATTCTATTAACTTTGAAATACGTGGATTCCGTGCATAATTTGCATGCTGATGATGTCAGACGTCCAACTGGAAAAAGGAAAATTTCAAAAATGAATATTGAGAAATTTCGAAATTTTAACAGATGAAGAGATAGAATAAAGTGAGCATTTATGGGTTAGGGTGTATCTAAAGTTATGCTGCCACTAGAAGAATTGAAAGAACATTGTGGTCACATTTAATTCTCGAAAAGCCAGCGTTCAATGGGCCTATGGTGAATAAGGACACATGATAAAATATAGAGAGCACATCGTTGCCATATTTTATCTTGATAATGATCAATTTTATCAAGTTTTATCGAACTATCATAAAATTCAATTGGTGTTGAAGATAATTTTATTAATTCGTTATACTTCTAAATTTAGCATTTTATTAACAGATAAAAATAATTGTCGTACTTTACTTGTTATTTAATATTTTTTATTTGTATTTTTCTTTCTTAAATATTCTGTATGTAATGTATTTCTTAATAACATATTTTCACTCCCCATGCACGTTCTTTCGAATCACTGCCCGCATTAAGCTTAGTTCAGGACGAAATTCGAAATTACATCCTGTGCGTAATTTTGAGAAATACAGTATTTTGTATTATTTACCACGTGAACTATACTGAATATCAAAATATATAATGGTTAAACCATTCAGGGCTGGCACTTGAGACTTGCCCAAGGACATTTGCCAAATGATATTAAATTCACGTAATTCGATAATAATAGAATTAATCTAGATTGGTCTGGCTGCCGATAGAAACACAGCCACACACAAAAATGAAAAAAGACGAAACTAATCTGAAACTCTTTATTAAATAACTTCAAACCCGAAAACTTGAGTTTAGGAAAAGCTTTAAATCAAAGGGGGTTAATCAAAATAGTTTAGGCAAGCATCTTTAGTGGCTGTGCAAAATGACTAAAAAATGATCTATTATTGTTTTATTTTTATTTATTAATAATTTATGAAAAATCTTACAAAGCCAAGAATATCATGACATTCTATACGTAAAATATTTTGTCATTTATTTATCAACTCGGGTTATTTATGCATTTTAATGTGAAGCAAAATATTTCACCTTTACTCATAACAATTTCCTAAAACGAAATATAATCGAATATGCAAGATCGATCGATTCAATGTATTACTATTATAATAGATGTACCCACAATTAGTAATCATAATAAAGAGCCAAATATTTAACACGTGTGATCGCAAAAATTACAATAGGTTCGTTCGTTTTTTACTCTTTTGTAAAGGGCGTGGAGATTTCGCGCCGTTTTTGACTAAACTTTCTGCCAATAAGACAAAGAAAAATATTAGATTTCTGTAGTGTCAAGTTCGATGTTTTTACGAGCGGGTAGATCTGCTCTAAATGTCTTGCGCCAAAAGCCTTTTGGATTGCATCACACATCTTTGATGAGAATACGTGCTTCTGCCGCTATCCCTTTTAATGCGGTTCGCACCAAAGTTTCAGCTGTTAACTCTCCATATCCACAAACAAGTTCGGCAAATGATGTTTTCCTTCAAGGGAGTACTGCGGGTTACGTTGACGAAATGTACCAAGCTTGGTTGAAGGATCCAAATTCTGTTCACTTATCGTGGCAAGTGTATTTTCGAAACATGCAAGCTGGCGTAAATCCGTTAGAAGCTTTTCAACCCCCACCTACTTTAGTTCACATTAGCACCGGTGTTGGAGTAAGCACACAGGCACATGATGTCAATGCTCATATGAAAGTGCAGCTATTAGTCAGAGCTTATCAAGCGAGCGGACATCGTATCGCTCAACTTGACCCGCTTGGGATTATGCACGCTGACCTCGATCCTTCTATACCTTCCGAGCTTGAGCCTGCATATTATGGTTTTACCGAAAAAGATCTAGATAGTGTGTTCGCACTGGGCCCGGGTATTTTACCTGGTTTTGCGAAATCAAGCCCAAAAATGACTCTTCGAGAAATTATTGATCATTTGAAAAAAGTTTATTGTAAATATTTTCGCTTTTCATCACGTTGAAATAATTTTATTGATGAATTGAACAAAATAATATTTAATATTTTATTTTGAATAAGGCGGCACAATCGGTGTAGAATATATTCATATTGCGGACCGTGAACAATGCGATTGGATTCGTACCAAGTTTGAAATCGCAGAACCTTTTAGATATTCGAAAAAAGAAAAACACATGATTCTTGATCGTCTAATTTGGAGTGATTCATTCGAACGCTTCGTCGCAACGAAATACCCAAACGAGAAAAGATTTGGCCTCGAAGGATGTGAAAGTTTAATTCCCGGTATGAAAGCTTTGGTAAGCTAAATGTGATGACAATTGACCCTAATAATCTATAATACGTTGTTACCGTATTATTTCGTCTTAAAGCATGTATTTAAGTTGGCCTCTCGATTTGTAGATTGATTGTTCGGTTGATCTGGGCATTGAACAAATCGTGCTCGGAATGCCACATCGTGGTCGTCTAAATGTGCTCAGTAATGTAATTCGAAGACCTAATGAATCTGTCTTCTCTGATTTTGGTGGGATGGCTGAGCCGGGAGAAGAAGGTTCCGGTGATGTGAAGTATCATCTGGGAATGAACTTTGATCGACCAACACCTTCTGGTAAACGAGTTCACCTTTCACTTGCAGCGAATCCATCACATTTGGAAGCTGTAGATCCAGTTGTACTGGGAAAAACACGAGCCATTCAGTTTTACATGAACGATGAAAAAGATCGTCATCGCTCAATGGCTGTTTTATTACATGGTGATGCTGCATTTGCAGCACAAGGAGTTGTATATGAAACCATGGGATTCCACGATCTACCACATTATACTACAGGTGGAACTGTTCACATCATTGTAAATAATCAAATAGGGTTCACAACTGATCCTCGATTCTCGCGCTCTACGCCATATTGTTCAGATATAGCAAAGATGGTCAGTGCACCAATATTCCATGTTAATGCTGACGATGTTGAGTCTGTGAACTTCGTGGCTCAAGTTGCAGCTGAGTGGCGTCAAAAATTCAAAAAGGATGTGGTCATTGATCTTGTGGGCTACCGTAAACATGGTCACAATGAAGTGGATCAACCAAGTTTCACACATCCTAGAATGTATAAACAAATTGCCAATCAGACACCAGTAATCGAAAAGTATATTCAGCAACTTTTGAAGGATGGCACATTCACGGAAGAAGAAATGAAGACGCACAGAAAATGGATTTGGGATACTTTGGAAGATAGTTATTCAAAAAGCAAAGATTACGAGCCAACTAGTCGTGAATGGTTATCGAGCTCATGGCATGGTAAGAATTCGATATACACATGGGTTAATATTAGGTAATAACACTTGATTAATCCTTTGTATTTTAAAAAAAAAGGGTTTAAATCACCAAAGGAAATAGCAGAAGAGACGATGCCTATTTATCCAACTGGTGCATCAATGGAATCACTTAATCATGTTGGTCAAATGATTAGTTCTTATCCGAAGAATTTTAATGTTCATCCAGCTCTCAGTCGTATACTAAAAGCGCGCGAAAAATCTATTACGGAAGGAAAAAATATCGATTGGGCAACTGCGGAGGGTCTTGCGTTTGGGTCCTTACTCTTGGAGAATAAACACGTTCGTCTTTCCGGCCAAGATGTAGAACGGGGGACGTTTTCTCAACGTCATGCTGTTCTACACGATCAAGTTACTGAATATCAATATGTACCTCTCAATGATTTAGGTGTTGGACAAGCGCATTTCACCATATGCAATTCATCACTTTCCGAATACGGAATACTTGGATTCGAATTGGGTTATTCATTAGTTAATCCAAATTCACTTGTACTATGGGAAGCTCAATTCGGTGATTTCGCTAACAATGCACAGTGTATTATTGATCAATTCATTGCATCTGGTGAAAAAAAATGGCTTCAACGGACTGGTTTGGTGGCTTTATTACCACATGGTTATGATGGACAAGGACCTGAACATTCTAGTGGACGTATCGAACGTTTCTTACAACTGTGTGACGACCATCCTTATGTATTTCCTCCACCTGAAAAGATGGAACGTCAACATCAGGATTGTAATATGCAAGTAGTCTATTGCTCAACCCCTGCAAACTATTTCCATGCATTAAGAAGACAAATCCATCGGGACTTTAGAAAACCCGTAAGTCGATTATTATCATTTTTTTAATAGATTTAAAATTAATAAATAATAATAATAATAATAATCATTATCATTCTTTATATAGCTTGTCGTCTTCACTTCAAAACTTCTCTTACGGCATCCGATGGCTCGTTCGACTCTGACAGAAATGACCGGGGATACTTACTTTCAACGTTACATTCCTGACCCACATCCTGAGAATCTAGCATCACCCGAGAAAATTACACGTCACGTTTTTTGTTCTGGGCAAGTTTACTACGCGCTTCTCAAAGCTCGAAACCAAAACAACATGGATCATGTTGCAATTTCACGTTTAGAACAAATAAATCCGTTCCCATATGACTTAATTGCCAATCATATTGATAAATATCCAAACGCACAGATTATATGGGCACAAGAAGAACCACTGAATGCAGGCGCATTTACTTATATTGCACCAAGGATGCGCACAGTGGCTAATCACACTAAATATCATCAAGGTACATTGCACATTTATTTAGATTTTCATGAAAGACCGTCGTAAATACTAAAATAATTTATTATCTATTTGCAGGTAAAGCAGCAAAGCCAGCAACTCGTCCTCCTGCGGCCTCACCTTCGACAGGGAATAAAAAGCAGCACATTCAAGAAGAACAAGATGTACTGGCGGAGGCATTAATAGGACAGGTTGTAAGACCACAAAGAATAGAGAATGGGGTACCGATTTGGAGTTAATGAGAAATATCAAAAGGGTACGACTATTAAACTATTTCATTTTATGAACAATAAACTATATAATGTTAAGTTATTTATTTGATAGACATGTAAATTATTATCGTAGAAATAGTAAGACTACAAAATTTTTAACCAAACGTTAAACATTACATACACCTTTAGTAACCATTCAATTAATTAATTAAAATCTGATGTGATTTTTTATTGTTCAGCGTTCTCTTACACTATCATTTGATTATTTGATTACGAATCATAATCTCAATAATGAAAATACGCTATACTATTGAAAACGTTCAACAGCCAAGTAATTATCTGTTCACCTATATTCTTCATTGAGCTTGATTGTCACTGATAGTCATCATATGAAATACGCAAGATGCTCAATTTAGACCTCATTAAATTTCTAAATATCATGTGCCCTATGCCAAGAATGTGTCCGATGTATCTTAGTTATTAACCAACTATTCCATTAGTAATTAGTAACTAACCACTCCGGGAAATAATTAGAGTCCCACTGATCAATATCGAGAACTAAGTAGGCAAGATAATTTCATGTGAAACCGTGCCTAATGCGACGATATTATTCTAGTTCGATATAGTATTCGTTGAATGTGATATTTATTTTTTACCATTGCCAAAAAATTTCAGGTAAATCTTTCATTACAAAGAAAGTATAAAAACAAAGCGAGACAGATTTGGAATATTCAAGACATCCGAGACGAGATTCCAAAAAAGTGCTTTCGTTTTAAATCCTTTGGATTATTATCATCAGTCGGTGAGGCTGTTGTAAGTGGAATGATGAAGTTAACTTTTAGCTCGATTGGTTGTTCGAGTAATGAATAGATAAAATACGTAATTCTTGAAAAATTGGGTTGCTCGTCCATGAATGAACATAATTATACAGATTAAGTGGATGATAGATAACTCATTATTATTATTATTATTATTATTATTATTTTCTAGTTTTCTGAAAACGAAAAAAAAATAATAATTAAACAGGGTCATCAACTTTAATGTCAAACAAAGTTTGTTGGTACAAACTTAATTACCTTAACCTTAATTTCTTTGAAATGGAGAAATAATGGGAACGGTGTTTCTTTATTTAATAAAAAAAAAAAAAAGAATTAAATAAAGCTTGAAACTGGCGTGGGTCCTATTACACGGGTAAAACCTTCAAACAGCAGAGAAAATATTTAATGAGCTGACAGGGGAAATAAAAAATGTCTTTTTGATTTTTACCCTTTATCTTTGTTAAATAATAATAATAATAGTAATAATAATAATGACGATAATACCAAAAAAAAAGTGAAAAACGCATTTATGCATATTTTTAACTTTTTGTATCATATAGTTCATTCATTTGTATATTAAAATACAAATAATCATTCACCACATTTCATTGACTGCTTGTTGGCATTCATTAACAAGATCAAACAAAAATAATATTCCATCAATGTCTTCTATCGTTAAACCAATAAACACACCAAAATAGGTTCTTTTATAAATAGATTCGCGTATCGGTAAGATTTAAAACCTCCTCCGAGTTTTCAATAAAATGGAAAAAGAGGAAGGAATGTATGATTTCTTTGACTCTTTTGAACCCAAAAGAGACCACTTCCAACTTTCTCAATTTTCTAAAGATAATAAAAGCAGCAACAATAACAATAACAGCAACAACATCGCTAGCAACAAAAACAACAACTACAACAACATTAACAACAATAACAATAACAACATGGACAGCATGGACAGTCAACACCTCAACAACGACATTAACAATAAATTTTATAATAATAACAACGATAATAACAGCAATAATATTATTATTAACCAGGAAGATATCGAGAACGAATTTCCACTTATCGAAATGTGCTCAGAAGAGTCAAATACTCATAAACGTGCTTTCTTGGAGTCGTCTTTCCACGAAGACTCACGAAAACGCACGCGTTTAACTGTAACCGACGCTGACCCATCTAATTTAAATACTCTAATGTTTGCCATTCCTACCACCACCACTACACCTACTATTACTAATAATCTAAATTATGGAACCAACGATTCTTTTTATCCAAAACCTTTTCAACCGATTCAAAGTTATGACTTGCTTTCGCCCACCGTTACTACTGACAGTAATAATAACTTGCTTACAGCTAATGAAGATTATAAAGATTATAAGGTTTATAATAATTTTCAACAACAAGAGCAAGACGTGTGTATAATTGAACCGGACGACGACGTCGAAGTTGTAGATTTGTATACTGATAAAAAACGTCGTCAAGAACTAGAAGATGCTCAAATGGCTAGAAATTTACAACTCCTATATGATAAGGAAACCGCTACTGACGAGCAAAAGAGACGTGACGAACAATTGAGGCGCGATGAAGAATTAGCAAGACAATTGGCGGCCGAATTAAATGGCGGTGCTGATACTTCTTTTAATAATTCTTCTTCGTCTCCTGCTGCGTCAAATAGTTTCTCGTCAGATGTTACGATATCGTCCGCCGCAGCATCGACGTCAGATCATTTGATTCCAATGTCTACGGATAGTTCTCTCATAGGTAATCAACCAAACATTGATTTAAGCTACCTCAATTTTGGGCAACATCAACCACCACCACCGCAGCAACATTCTTATCTTTCGAATATTATTACTCTTGAAACAGATTTAAGTGCATTTTCCATTTCCGAAACAGCACAGAACCCACCGCAAGAAATTAATGCGTTATCACAGAATACCGTGGAAGAAGGTTCTATTATGGATGAGACGCTAGGTGATGGTGTTTGGATGTTTGATAACTTCACGACTGGACTTCAACAACTTCCTCCTCTCTATGGTAGTACTTCATTAAATCAATATTTTATCTTCCCTCCTAATTGGTCTAATATTGATTTCGATTCATTTGGATTAAATAATAATAATTCCGGAATTGCAAAAGAGCCAACCCCAGCGCCATCATCTTTAACGTTAGCGCCGCCAGCCTCATCTCCTTTAACCTCATCATCATCATCATCAACATCATTATCATCATCATCGTCATCGTCATCATCACCACTACCACCACCAGCATCTTCATCATCATCATCATCATCATCATCGTCACCATCATCTTCATCATCGTCATCATCATCATCTCCTTTAACACCGTTACCATATCCGTCATCGTCATCTACTTCAATATCGTCATTTCCATCCTCCAGCTTTTCACAATCATCTTCATTTATGACCGCTGCCGAATTATACAGGTTAAACAGTGACGTGCCAATTTTACCTCGAAACATAGGTGCTACTTCAAATAAAGTTATTGATATAATTGACTTAGAGAAAGATGACGACGACAACAACAACAACAGCATCGTTAACAATGACAGATCAGGGTTAAATGAATTAATTCCTCAGAAACCTCTTCCTAAAAAAACTCAAGAAGAACAATTGCGTGCCCTACTTGAAGACATTAATACTGATTTAGACTCATTGACACCACAAGATCTAACTGACACACCAGAAAATTTAATTCCGGATTTGATGAATCATCAAGTTATCGGTCTCACGTGGTTGATCAAAAAAGAAGAGAGTATAAATCACGGAGGAATTCTTGCTGATGATATGGGTCTTGGAAAAACAATCCAATCACTTGCACTAATTTTGGCACGTCCTTCCACCGACAGTTCACGGAAGCCGACTCTTGTGGTAACACCAGTCTCGTTAATGTATCAATGGGCTCATGAATTCGAGACAAAAACACGGGGACTTCAAGTCTTTGTGCATCACAGCAAAAATAAAATTACATCCAGCCGACAATGTCAAAAATATGATGTTATTATCACGAGTTATCATACGATCGCTGGTGAATTCGAAGCTCGGGTTACCCCAATTTCTGATGCAAAGTGGCACAGAATAATTCTCGATGAAGCTCAGTCGATAAAAAATAAAAGTACAAAAGCTGCAAAAGCTTGCTGCCAATTGGATGCTACTTACAGATGGTGTCTATCAGGAACTCCTATCCAGAATAATATCGAGGAGCTCTATTCTCTCATCAAATTCCTTCGAATTGAGCCTTACTGTGACTGGAATGAATTTCGACAGGCTTTTGTAAAGTCAAACACGCAAATTGTAATGAAGCGCTTACACGTCGTGTTGAAATCAATTCTGTTGAGACGTAATAAGAATGCCAAGATCAACGGCGCGCCAATTATAAGGCTTCCGCCACGCCATGTCCATCTCACAAATACTTACTTCTCTCCAGAAGAACGAGAATTCTATTATTCTTTGGAGAAGAGAAGTCGACTTACCTTCAATCGATTTTTGAGGGAAGGTTCGGTCATGAAAAATTATTCAAATATCCTTCAACTGTTGCTGAGACTTCGCCAAGCGTGTTGTCATCCATTCCTCATTCGAGATCGCAATGTTGTTGAAGGGGAGGATGGCGAGAATAATAAAGATACCTTTGAAACGATCTTTGAAAAAATGAAGCAAGACGTTATCAACCGATTGAGAGAGCAAGATCTCGACCAAAAAGAATGTCCAATTTGTTATGATTCTGCTGTGGATCTTTCAATCCTTGTGTTGTGTGGTCATTCTTATTGTCGTGAATGTCTCCATGGATTATTTGAAGTAGAGGCAGGAACGAAATCATGTCCTGAATGCCGCGGAAAGTTTACGATGACTGAGGTTTTGCCTTACTCGCAACTCAAAAAGAAATTGAATGTCGATAATGATTCCGATGGGAAAGGAAAAGGAAAGGGAAAGGGAAAAGATGAAGACACAGTTATAGATGTAGATATAGATGCGGAAGAAGAAGAGCTCCCTTTAAATCTTCCTGATAATGAAGAATTTATTCCGAGTTCGAAAATTGATCGTACAATAAATCTTCTCAAGGACTTCCGAAAAAACTCACCTGGTGACAAAACAATAATCTTCAGTCAATTCACTAGATTGCTGGATCTCGTGGAGTACGCGCTAAGGGATAATGGATTCAAATTCACTCGCTATGACGGGAAGTTGAATACAAACGAACGCACCGAAGCTTTGAAAACTTTCGAAGAGTGTCAAGATATCAATGTGATTCTAGTCAGCTTAAAATGTGGTGGTGTGGGTTTGAATTTGACGACTGCCAATCGTGTTATTATGTTGGACCCTTGGTGGAATCCGGCGATGGAAAATCAAGCAATCGACAGAGTCCATAGAATTGGACAAAAGAAAGATGTTGAAGTACATCGAATCATTATTCCCAACACTATTGAACAACGTATTCTTGATTTACAAGACAAAAAACAGCATTTAGCGTCACAAGTATTGGGCGAAGGTGGCTCAACACAACTTGGTCGTTTGGGACTTCAAGATTTAAAGTATCTATTCCGGGGATAAGGATAAAAAATTGTATTTTCTTAAGAGTATTTATTTACGATTAAGCAATAAACGTGGGGGCATATAGTTATTTTTATTTTCATGGCAAATAAATATTTAGAGGACATATTTTTATCAAGATTCGCTCAATTATGCAAAGCATATAGCATTTCTTTGAAAGATTTAATTAATTGTTAATATTTGGATAGTAACTAAATAGAGTCAATTTAAAGCTGTGCATTATCAATTTGGTAGTGTAGAACTCGTTAATTGTCAAGATAATTTATCAAGTGTATTTAGAACTTTGGAGCAACATGATAGAAAAACGAATTCCCTACATACATATAGTATTTATAGCTTGAGCAAAATGAGTAATTTTCTCAAGATTCACAATTCGGATTGCTAAAAGATTTCCAAAGCACAAAATATTAATTAGATCATTAGAAATACACCAATTATTTTTGCAAAATTGAAAATGTTATCATATGGATACAAGTATAAAAGACAAAATCAAAATAAGAATTATACAACACAAATAGCTTGATATCTATTGAATGCCAAACAAGAGAAATTTTATTATGTTATGAAATTTTCAGATAATTCATTTAAGAGGGAACAAGATATTTATCTAAAGAATAAATGTAGATATAAAAAATAAAAATAGTGGGAAGATTCGCAGATGTAGGAAATGAAAAAACTTTGAAGATCTAACCCTAACGATAAAAATCACCTTTTAATAATTCAAAGAATGTTTGGATCCCGTGATTTTGGTAGTCAAATCCAGGTGCATATTAAAATAAGATGATCAAAATGATTTACTGATTAGATGGGTTTTCCCCTTAATCTGATGAGATTATCAACACGTGATTATAACTACGACTAATTACAAAAAATGCTCCGAAGCGATTGGTCAGTATGTTAGATGAGACTCTACAAAATTAATTGTTCCAAATCAAGACATTATTGATTTTGTTACTTTATTAGATCATAAATTCATGCATATTCTTGACATTCAGCACATTGAAATTATCTTTCTTTGCAATGAGTACATTACTATAATGATGAGTATAGTGATCGTATAGATAATCGTTATACAAACGCACATATATATAGCGATTCAAATTCTACTTTGTCCATTGGTGGACATGTGTACTAAGAAACAATATATGTACATTTGATACGTTAAAAGAAAGCTTTTTACCAACATTCTGACAAACACAATCCGACTGAAACCATGCATTAGAATGGTGTCATTCTTTCAGGATGTCGTTCATGCATTCAGGATGTCTTTTTTTTTACTTTTTACATACATTTAAATGCTTGACATTTGCATGAAAATGCATTTATGTGTGTATTGTTACCATTGAACTTCTATAAAAAACTGATTCTGATTAACACACATGTACAGTATGTATGTGTTTGAATTTTTTACAATGACATTTTAAATCAGTGCAAAAGTCATAAAGTTCAAATTTTTTCTTAACAATGCTGTATATAGGCATAAATTTCTCTGACCAACTGTATGACTATAGACAGGTTTAACTACATTTCGGTTAGAATTAGGGTTAGGGTTAGGGTTAAGATTAAGATTATATTGCGCATAAGAATTTATTAGTAAAATTTCGCAAGGAGCATTTTTTCGACAAAATTTCGAGATATAATTTTTTTTTCTTTAGTTTGCCGGGGTTAATGCATTTTTATTGGTAGTTCAATCCCCCCGGGGGAGGGATTAGTTGCTATAACGAGCGCCTAAAAAAATCTCATCGTCAATGATTTCTTTTCTTCGCCATTTGACGCCTCGAGTTCTACGACGTTGCGCTGTTCGTTATTACAGAAAGAGGTTAGCTAGCTTAAAAGAGTTTGATGCCAAGAAATCTATGTTGCGGACGATAGTGACATTAGCGCAAAATTGTATTATGTCATTGAATAATTATAAAGAAGCGATAATGTAATATGATCATGGCTTGAGCAAAAGATTGGGAAGTGAATGAGATGATTGCCTGCCTTGGGTGTCATTTTCACACATTTTCGTATTAATTTCGTTTATTGGACATGAGTGAAATATCTATACAAGTTAGCAACCTATTAATCGTGTTATCCCAACCTACAATACTTTCCTGTATTATAAAATTCTCTTTATATTACTGTTGGTAATGTGTTTCATGCAATAAAACACAGCGAACGGGAAAATATTCCCATAAATCATAACGACACAATCCAATTGCATGTTTTTTTTCAAAAGCCTGCTACAAGTCAAATACTTTATCTGTCTAATAATAAAATAGTATTGTTGTATTTGTTTTTGGCAACCGAATAAATTTAATTGTGTGTCGGGTTTGAATTTTCCGGGATTGACAAAACAATTTGTAAAAATGTTCCTTGCGAAATTTTTATATTTCATATCTTGCGATTTGATTGGTTTACCCAATTTTTTTCGGGGTCTACAGTCCGATCATTTAATATTACGACATATAAATTTTAACATTCGACTTAGGTTTGGAAATTTTAATAAAGTCAGCTCTTTACATTTTATCTTCACTGTCCAGAAATGTCGCAAAAATTCTTAAGTAAAAAGCGAAGAGGAGGTAAATTAAAAAATCTTTATAATCCTTTCTGTACTTTAACTTTTTACACGTTGTTCTTTATAATGGTAGACGAAGAGTACAAAGGTCCCGTCAAAAAAATCAGCATTAAACAATCAAAAAACGAACGTGGAAGAGGGTCTAAAAGTGACGGCGTAGTTTCCAGCTCCAGTCCCGCTTTAAATAGCGATTCAAATGCCGGGGATGACGACGCTTTAAGTAAGTTTTTTTTTTGAAATAATGCTCAATTGAATAAATTTAAATTACTTACTAATATTCTTGTTTTATAGTTCCAAAAATGGCTATGTTAAATGCTGATGCAATAATCTATGCTTCGCAGTCAGAGAACAGCTATTCGTCAAATGATCCTGTCTCTAAACTCTTTGGAAAACAAGATTTCTCAAATATTCTCTTAAAGCCCGATCATGAGTCGCGTCCGCTTTGGATAAATCCTATCAATGGAACTATTACGCTTGAAGCTTTTTCACCTATAGCTGAACAAGCCCAAGACTTCTTGATAGCAATTAGTGAACCGATTAGCAGGTATATTTTTCATGCATTTTATATTTTCCGATTGCCATTATCAATTTGGTCAATTTTGTAAAATTAAAATAGGCCAGCTCATATCCACGAATACAAACTCACTCCATATTCTTTGTATGCTGCTGTATCAGTCGGACTAGAAACAGAAGACATAATTGAAGTATTAAACCGATTGTCAAAGGTATCTTTTTTGCATTGTTAATTTTCAGAATATAATTCGAAATTATAATGGATATCCCACCTATAAACTATTTATACATAGATACAGATTCCCGAATCAATCATAAATTTGATACGACAATGTACCATCTCCTATGGTAAAGTGAAACTGGTGTTAAAACAAAACCGCTATTTTGTTGAATCTTCATACCCGGACACATTACAAAAATTACTGCAAGATCCGATAATTGCTGCTGCGCGACTTGTCAATTCAGAAGATGAAAAGGCAGGAATTTTCAAAGAAAAGGCGCCTTCTTTGAATGGTTTGGTCATTGTACCCCCACAGAAACCTCCAGAAAAATCAGCAGAAGGAAAGCCTGAAACTAACACCGAAGAAGCCTCTAAAGACGCGAAAAAGGATGGGTCGGATCTATTTCACACAGTTGTAGATCTGGAGAAAGGCATGCACTTTTTTATCATCCAGATAACTTTCTATTTTTGTCGCATTAATATTTTTTTTCGGGTTCTTGCAGAGGATGAAGAAGAAGATGATGAAGACGAAGTTCATGCTTTTGAAATAAAATCAGAACAATTTGAGGTACATTTATTTATTAAAGCCAATGTTTCCCTAGTAAATAAATTTTTCTATTTTATTAAATAAATTTTTTTTAATAGAATGTCAAAAAACGGTGCAATGAACTTGATTATCCAATGATGGAAGAATATGACTTTCGCAACGATAATAATCTAGCACCACTTGATATTGATCTTAAGCCTATTACTGTTATTAGACCGTATCAAGAGAAATGTCTGAGCAAGATGTTTGGTAACGGGTTAGTAATTAATTAATTTATACGACACTGCAGAGCTCCATATAGATATTACGAAAATATTATTAATTGTTTTATTATATATTTAGCCGTGCGCGGTCAGGCATCATTGTATTGCCTTGTGGTGCCGGCAAGACACTAGTGGGCATTACGGCCGCGTGCACAATCAAAAAGAGTACACTTGTTCTGTGCACTTCTGGGTATGTATTATTAAAGAATATAAAAATAAATTCGTACCTATATTTAAGATTCGTGTGCCTTTTATAGTGTTTCTGTAATGCAATGGAAACAACAATTTCTACAGTGGTCTAACATTCGTGATTCTCAAATAGCAGTTTTCACTTCTGATCAAAAAGAAAAGGTATATAATTACATTTGTTCTGTCCTTATCTAATAGGACAGCTTTGGATTATTGTAGTAAACCGATCTTTCACCCTAGTTTTCAGGGCCATCTGGGATTGTAATCTCAACATATAGTATGGTTGCCAATACACGAAACCGATCACATGAAGCTCAAAGAATGATGGACTTTATTAAGGGACGTGAATGGGGATTCGTTTTGCTAGACGAAGTACACGTTGTACCAGCAAATATGTTCCGACGCGTCGTGACAACCATAGCGGCGCATACAAAGTTAGGTCTGACGGCTACTTTAGTTCGAGAAGACGATAAAATTAGTGATTTAAACTTCTTGATCGGACCGAAGTTATACGAAGCAAATTGGTTGGATCTTGCGTCAAAAGGACATATTGCTAATGTACAATGCGCGGAAGTTTGGTGTCCGATGACTCCAGAGTTTTACGGTGAATATTTGCGTGCTAACTCGAGAAAAAGAACGCTGTTATATGTGATGAACCCCAAAAAGTTTCAGGCGTGTCAATACCTGATACGGTATCATGAGGAACGCGGAGATAAGATTATTGTATTTAGTGATAATGTCTTTGCCCTAAGGGTATTTATTTACTGCATTCATCTTTGCCCTTTTAGAAAGTGAGAATAAATAATTCTGATTCATTATATTTCTAGGCATACGCAATTAAGCTTGGTTGTTTTTTTATATATGGAAAAACACAACCTCAAGAGCGGATAAGAATCTTGCAAAATTTCCAATATAACCCAAAGGTCAATACGATCTTTTTGTCGAAGGCAAGTTTTTATTATTATATATTGAAAATATTATATCATTTATTTCTAATAAATTTGCCGATAGGTGGGTGACACGTCTATCGACTTGCCCGAAGCCACTTGCTTAATCCAAATCTCATCCCATTACGGATCACGCCGACAAGAAGCCCAACGTTTAGGTGAAATTGATTTTTTATAAATCTTTATTCATAAACTTAAGCCTATTGTTTAACAAATAAATTATATAGGACGTATTCTTCGTGCAAAACGAAGAAATGATGAAGGATTTAATGCATTCTTCTACTCGCTAGTATCGCAAGACACACAAGAAATGTTCTATTCAACAAAACGACAACAATTTCTTATCGACCAAGGTTATGCTTTCAAAGTAATTACTAAACTGGATGGGATGGAAAAAGCTCCAAATCTCGTATATCAAAAGAAAGAGGAGCAAGTAAGATTATTAAATGAAGTACTAGAGGCTAATGAGAGTGACGCCGCTATCGATGATGATGTGGAAGCCAATGCCGATGACTTGCCCGGCACTACAACAAGTACAAATTTCGAAAGAATTCCTGGATACACGCGAAGTTCCGCCAGTCTAAAGAGTTTGAGTGGTGCTGATGGTATGTCATATTTGGAAAGCGACGGGCAAACGTTCAGGAAGGCGATTGGCGTCGGTGGTGGATCTTTAGAACATTTGAAAGGTAATAAAGGTAAAGGGAAAAAGAGACAAGCAGAGGAAAAAGCTCAACAAAATCCTTTTTTTAAGAAGTATCGAAAAAAATAATATTTCAAAGCACGCATTACTTATCCACAGACTGATAAGTATCTCGCATTGATGGGCATATAATGAAATTTGCTAGTTTGGGAGTTTCGTCATTAAAAATGATAAACGTTTATCTTAATAAAATGACTATATGGAATTTTGACTCAAAAAAGAGCAAAATTTCCATTGGACATTAACAAAATTTTTCTTGAGAAATAAAGATCTACGGTCAAATCTCTTTGCTGTCCGGTCATATAAACATATTTATTCGTTAGCTGTATAGTGAACTTTATAACGGCCAAAAATTTCAGAACCATGCAACAGTTAAAAGAGATTTGACTGTAGTTCAAATTAAACCAGCAAACGATTACATTTGTAATTGTACAAAAAAACAAATTTAACTCTCAATAAATCTTTTAAATTTTATTTTTTATTTCAAATTGGATCTTTTTGAAGATTTTTCACTTACACGAATAATCAAAAATTATACTTAAAGTATCTGCAACCAAAAAGATTTTGGTTTTTATATCGTTTTTTATTAGATAATAGCAGAGTGATGAGATATATATTTTAACCCTACAAAAATATACAAAATTGAGAATAAAATTAAATAAAATAATACAACAATGAAGTGAGGTGAAATGAAATAAATGAAATGAAATGAAAAAAATATGTAATAAGTATATTATATAATACATAAAATATAAATTACAAAAAGGAACATCCGAACAGTTAAATATTATATTCACAATTTCGGAACGTAAATATGATTATAAACAAGATATGAAATAAAATCATGTTCTATATAATAAGATAAGATATGGGATAGGTTGTGACTATAGGATATAACGCAAGGAACAAGTCAAAGTGAATTTAAACTATATAATTAATATATATATAACTTACAATCAAGAGAAAATATCAATAGATCATTCCATATTTAGTTAATTCAATTCCACGGTATCGCTTTCCTTAGTTCATCTATTGATCTCGGTGATCCAGGTTCTTCACCGTATGGAGTTCCCGGTGGACTACTGGTCACCAGCCCTGAAACCATTATACCACTAATCTCTACACCAGCTCCAACGCCACGTATGCTGCCATTAGGTGGTGAAGACGCCGATGCTAAGTTTCTCATTCGTCGAATTGACGGATATTTTGGTGGGCTTGTTGAATTTATGAGTGAGGCGGATGGACTATTTATAGAAGTGTTATTTGATGAAACTTCCGTTGATTCACTGGTGACAGATGACGTTCTTGAGGAAGATGCAGCAGTTCCGACACCATAATTATTATGATGAAATTGATGGCTACTAAGACTATTTCCATTCTCAACTACAGCTGCATCCCTAATACGTTCACGTGGCTCCTCAAACCCTTCAAACATCAATTCGAAATGTTCAATAGCAAGTTTCATAAATATTCCAACTCCGCCTCCCGAGTCGCTGTCCGTACTCAACACGCACATGCTAACATCCAACAATGGGTTTCCGCTATGCACCAAATTCGGAGCCATCATCACTGCAAGATTATACGGAGTCATGCGATTCACTTTCTCGTGTTTCGAAATTTCGTAGAGTAACGAACAAACATAGTGTAATAGAATTACGACCGGAGGCAGTAGTAAGGGAAAAACAGTTTCACGAATGAATTCTATTCTTTCCAAGTGGCCATTTTTCATGCGTATTTGTCGCAATGTTTCGTATATCTCGGCGGGAAATACGGAAACTGGGAGTTGCGCAAAGAACATCTTTAGTAAGACAGCAGCGACGTGAACTCCATAATCGGCAAGATTAATTGGGTTTCCTGTTTAAAAATAATTACGAAGCAAATAAATAAAAAGGTTCGATATTTGGAGAGTAAAAATATTATATTGCTTATATATGATTTCTACCTCGATCATATGCTTCTCTTGCCTGTCGTAACAGAACAGAACTTGGTGAACGCCTAAAAATACCTTCAGTTTCCAATCCTATCAAAGACGCAAAAGAAATTATTAATTATTCAAATTTTTTGTAAAGATAAAAACTGACAAAGCAAACCTTCTGCTCTCAAATAAGTTACACAATCTTTTACCACCCTAGGTAATCCCTTTTCCCCCTCCGAACCCATTAGCACCTCAATCGGGACACCAAACATTAGTGACCCATTTTCATCATACGCGGTCGGTTGAAGTGTTATTTTTTCCTCAAATTTTAAATTATATCTGATGATTAGAAAGAAACGGTTTTTAAAGATTAAACTCATCAATTTAATTGATATATTTCAAATCTAAACAACAACGGATAACATACGTATAGACAAGCGGCGGGATTTCAATTTGTGTTAATGGAACGTATAATGCCAGTTTTGATAGCGTTGGAATATATTTAACTTTTCGCCCAAATTTTGGGCTACGTAAGAAAAAATGTCAATTAATTCGAATAAGAAATTCGATCGCATGATTAAATGACAGAGAAGCCTTACCTTATCACGACATTCATTACATCAAGTATAACGCGGGCCCAAGTAGTCGAATGTACTATATACAAATTTTTTAAATTTTTCTTGTATCTAAAATTATCGAGGCAAGTCCCAATTGATTAGCATTGTAGCATTATGAGGTTAAGAAAAAAAAGCATAAAAATCAACAATTTATTGTTTCTTACTTTCTACTAAGATTTTTGTACGCGCGAAACATCCAATGCCAACCAGGACGATGTTGTGCTCCGCCAGCGAAAAGCACAACAGTATAATCGCTTTCTACAAATAAATCGAGTTTACGCAGAATTCGACTAACCGTAATAAAAATAATCGATTTAATACCAAAAACATCGAAACGGGAATTCAAGACTCGCAATAACAAAGAAATAAACTTACCTTAAAATTTTGTCATAATCTACTTCGTTGGGATCAGGTAAATTACAAGCACACACAACCACCAACGGTTTACTCTCGAAATCGACACCTTTTCAAAAAATTACGCATTTACAAACAACACAAATTAAAAAGAAAAGATAAATATCAATTTAGATATTAAATTATTTATTTTCTTATTCTCAAGTGTACATAAAATTCATTATTGTTGAAATGCTTCTTCCAAAACTCTACTTACCAGCCTGAAATATTATTTTTGTATCAACATATTCGGCCAGTGCCTCGTCCTCAGACGTTATAGAGTTTTGGCGTCGGCGTTGCTGTAAATCTCGTTGAAAAAACCTCCGCCCATTCTCACTATCATTATCAGAACTATGAAATATTCGTTTCAACATTACAATTATTGTAATAGTAATTACAACGGTACTGATAATTGCGATAATGGTGCTAATTTTTACAGTAAAGGTGTTTTTAAAGTGTAAAAGAAACTTTTTCGTGCAAGTAAAATTGGGGTTAAAATATTATATTTCGTCTCTAAAATAAAACGAAATAAACGACAAGAGTGAAAATGAATGTAACTTTCAACTGTGTAAGAGAACTTTCGTGTGTCTAATACAATATGTATATAGATGCACACTTGTATTTGTTCTTAAATCATCATAATACAAAATAATTTTATTGTCAAATGGACGCTAACTTGGTCATTGATTGACAAACTTTCTCGGCTAGTTTAGTTTTACCATTATAGTTTTAGTCGCACCGGGTTTTTCCTTTATAGAATGCGCAATATATTTTTTTATATATGTATTTCATAATCAAATGCATTATCTCGAGGTTATTTTTTTGTGTCACCATTTTTTATTGTCCCTATAAAAGTACTCAACTGAAATGTCTAATCCGAATCTCTCTTCTTCATTTTGATGTATTGTATAAAATGGCCATATAATCGAATCGTATTTCCAAACTCCCGCAATCAAATTCGCTCGAGCTTAAAAAGCGACGGTTCATTTCGTCATTTTTCAGCAATAATTATAAGAATGTAATAATTCACTCAATTTTGAGTGCTTGAATTCCGTCGCGTCCAAACAGGTATTATATATATAATATAGTATCTGTTGATCTGTGTTTATGTGCTGATAATGGTAAGAATTCGTTGTGGTATTGAAGTTTGCTGTATACAACTTTACATCGATAAAATTCGGTCGAGATTATCCAGGTGATTCGTGGGATATTTAATCCTTCGGTCTACATCCTTCTTTTAGGTAAAAGTGCCCGTCATGTTGAGACATTACCAATAAATCCGTTATATCGAGTATGAAATGTTCATAACTCTTTTAAGTTTCGTGTATAATAAAAGAATTTCAAGAATTGTCCAATTCTATCTCCGTCAATTTATTATATTGTCCCCGTTAGCATAAATGGGGATTATTTATTAAAAATTTAACATCAATTATCGACACCTGGCGATGCAAGGTTATCGTTCAGAAACTTTGTAATACCTACTTTCCCAAAGAATCTGCTAACATAAATAGTATTGATTGTTGCTGCTTCTTGAACAAAATACGATTTTTTAAGGAAGATAATAAAAAAAATAAAATTACTTAAAACGTAAAAGATGAGTTAAGATCCAATATATTTAACAATTTTCTGCAAGCAAGTTTCTTGGTCGTATTTTAAACTGATGCGCGACGTTACTTCCCGAATAAACGCTTGCTTCCTATGTATCGTTCAAGCCTAATATTATAAATGCCCCTTTAGAACGAAGTGTATGTCCCCAGGTTGCTCGGGGGCGGTAAAGCTTTCTATTCAGGTATAAAGTAGCGTTGTGACGTAACGCGCGTTTCATGTTTATTCAAAATATACTGGTACAATCTAACATAAAACTTCAGTATAATATAAATCTAAAAAAAAATTAATACTCTGATTTACCCAATCTACTCTTTAAAAAAGATATACTAAATATTTTTGAATCGATGATGATAATCTTGCGATCCTAAATCTCCATTCTGAATCGTTGAAGCATCCTCCTCTTTAATGGTGGCGCTTAGAATATCATCTTGTGGTAGTGGTGGTCGTTGTTCTAATGATTCTATCGCCTCATGCTGAGCAATAGAAGCATCGTCATTATTATTCTCTTCGACAAACTTTTGCTGTTGTTTGTTTTGCATATCGAGAGCATCTCGAGTTACTACCTCACTAGATTCTTTATGGTCATTTTTTTCTTGTACCGCCTTCACAGTTTCAGATACAAGAACATGATGATTATCTGATCCTTGATCGAGAATCCAGTTGTCTTCACTTTTCTGTTCGACGGCAGCGGTATCCTCGATATTTTCCACATTATCTGGTGTCATTGGCAAATTGTTTGACAACTGAAGTCCCAAGAGAGCATCATTTTGTTGCGTATCTCTAATAGAATCCATTAAGTTCCCAATAATTACCAAGTCTTTTGACTCTTCTTGCTGTTGTGCATTGTTTGTGATTTCATGTTTGACAATATTTGTAGAGAGTGATATCTGATCAGCAGTCTCTTCCTTTGATTCTAATCTGGCTTGATGCTGCGGAAGTTCAGAAAGTTTGGGTTCATCAAGTTGGTCAACAGAGATTTGATCCTCATCTTCGATGCTCATTTCGGCTTCGACAGATTCCGAGGTTCCTTCTTGATGTGGGAGTTCAGGCTGTTTAGAATCTTTTTCAATTTTGATGATTTCATTGCCGAGAACCTGTGTTTCATCCTCTTGAATATTTTCCAATACATCTTTGCTAGATGTGTCGTTATACCCTTGCATAGATAAAGCGCTTAATTTCTCTTTACTTTTCGTCTCGACTTTATTATTATTTTGCAAAAACAAAGGTTGATCTGGCGGCATCTTACTTATTTTCACTTTGACCATTTTGGAATGCCGAGTTTCAATCTTTGAATATTTTCCAATTTTCTCTTTTTTGCCTGTCTGTGCTTGTATTACATCGCCACCACGGCTAATAACCTCTTTATGAGTGCTTTTATATACACAGCAATAATGATCGAGTTCTTCTACGTCGCTGCCCATCTCCTCCAATACTTTTTTAAAAGTATCAGGGTTTTTTTGACGAAAGTGATCACTGAAAACAAATGTAACAATATTTTATCAAATAGATTTTCTAGTTAGAAACGATCAAGTTGCACTACTCACATTGCCATTTCCGCAACAGTTTCTCGAACAATTTCACGAATTTCATTATGCGCACCAAAGGTTTTCTTGAAACCGGGTACTCTGAGTAATGCCCAATAGCAATTGAACCGGTTTTTGATGGATGGAGAATGCAGCTTACATTCAATTTCAAGACTTTTTTCAAATAAATTATGTTGTCATTGTTAGCAGCAGCAAATAACGATACCTAATATAGTTGTAAAAAAAAATATATTATACATACGCATCACAAATCTTGAAAATTAAATTAACGAGATACGGCTCCTCTTTTTCAACTTCCCCAACGTTAACCCACTGCTTATGACTTGTTCTTTTATCTAATTTCAATTTTCGCGTATTTCTCTTTTTCCTTTGCAGAAATGTAGGAGGATAATTTTCAGTCTCAGGAGCAGATCCAATAAATTCTGTAGAAGCTTCGCTGCTATTAAGCGATGATTCTTGATCAACCACAAGATAACCCCTGTTCAACGACTCTTGACTATGATCATTTGACGGATAAAAATGGCTATAATCGTCTGATGAATAACGATTCCGTGGATAAGATCGAAAATGGTGTGATTGCATGAAAAGTTTTTGTTGCCAAGTTCGACATTCTTTATGTCCAGTCAAAACTGATTCTTTTTGAAAGGTTGTCCCGAAGGTAATGGGATTATAATCTTCGAAAGTATCTTGCTCTCTTTGATTGTATTCAACATAAGATGGTTCGGTATCTTGTTCCTTAGCAGCGTCGCTAATCTCATGATCTTGAAGTTCCTAATATTTATATACGCATTTAGTATACAGAATAAATGAATCTTTTCTTTCATCGAACATACATTCACAGATCCTGTTTGATCAACTACATGGGCCAGCTCTGCCGATTCTTCGTCTTTAGAGAGGGAAAGTTTACTGTCAGATTCCTGATCTGAATCGTCAGCTTCATTCTCATATCTTTCTGATAGTTCAATACTTTTTTCTGATTCGGATCCTTTCGCGGACTCTGATAAAGTCTTTGAAAATCATAAAATCAAAAACAAACCATAAATAAATAGTAACAAAAATAATAATATAAAGATTAAAAAATGGGTTACCCCTTTGATTGATAATCCATTTTTCACTAAGACCCAGCTAGACGACAAATTTGACTTTGGTCGTCTATCAACTTTTTCTAAATGAGAAGGCGAATCCTCCCGAGTCTGTTGTACAACTTGTTCTTGGTTAATGGTCGCTTTTTCAATCGATGGTGGAGCGGAAGTATTATTTGGGTATAAATTTGTCACTGATGGATATATATTCGGTTGTTGCTGGCGCAGTCGCTGCGAATAATTTCCAAAAGTGCGATTACTGAGATTATTTTGCCATTGTATCTCACTGTAGGAAAGTCGTCTAGCACTGGGGGAAGACCATCGTGATTTTTGACCATTGAAATAGTAATTATAATATCTATTATTATTAGATCTTGACATTGATGATGATGGGAATTTTTGTCTTCTATAGTAATTCGGCTTATTAAAAGAGCCGGAATACGAGTTTGAAGATGAAGACGTAATTGTTGCTGGGTCGAAGTTTTTATAATCTCGTCCCAAGGATGAAGGTAGACTGAATCGACGATTTACCCATTGTTTTGATTTCCTATTGTTGTTCTTTTCATTATTATTATCTTTATTATCATTCTCATCATAATTGGCATCGTCATCATTATTAATTAAGGCTTTTGATGATTTCTGCTCTTTATTATTGGAAATTGACAATGGACTTTGCCTTGCTCGAGAGTCTGATAAAGCGGAGGTAAAGGAATCATTGATGGCTTGTGATCCAATCAAGTGCTGATGTTGACCATTTGACAAGCTACGAGAAGATCCCATGTTTAGTTGCTGTGACATGTCAGTATCATTGGTGGTTGTTGTGGAACAAGTATTGAAACAAACGGGAGACGCTTCTCGAGGGTCTAATTTTGTATTAATCATATTTATAAAGAAAAAATTTCTATAAGTGATAAAAAGAAAACAGAATTTGAATTTAGAAGGATTCATTAAACAGTAAATAAGGAAGAAACAGTAATATCACTCAACAATTCTTTAATCTGTAATGGTTACAAATTACGGAAAGAAACAAAAGGTTAATAAAAAATAATTTTTATTCCTTTACGCGAGAATAATCATTTTTTATTATTAAGCGTTAAATGGTTTAATAAAAACTGTCTTTTTTCTTGTCTTGAAGGTGTTGCCATTCTTTTGATGCTTTGAGTTAAAAAGTTTCTTTTCTCTTTTTCCTTAAATATACTTTTATTTCATTCGATCTTCTCTGATTCATGATAGCGTTACACGAAGCAAGAGGAGCAAAAACGGGACATGGGCTATCAATATTCTATGAATGTCTAAAAAATTAGCGTGCGAACTTACTTTGTTCTTCCCTTCGGCAATGGAGCGTTAGTCTGTCTTTATATTGAGGTTTTCTTTAACTAAAATTATTAATTGACCCCAATTGAGAAGGGATAAGAAAGGAATAATCAATTCGATTAAAATAATCCATCCTAGTTTATATTATTTATCATAATGATAGTATTATGCATCATAGCATGATAAATTTCTTTAAATGATCCATCCTTGATCAACACATAAGCAGTAGTATGAATCATAATTATCGTTATACCAGCGTTAGAGTTTAATTGTGACCTTCCATTGGGAATTCATGTGTCAAATGTTTCGTGTAACACCGAGGGAAACTAATAAAATATGGCATCAAAAACCTTATCATTTCTTCGTGAGATGTAGCAAAAGCTTATAGACGCTAAAGGATTTGCTAATCATAGTTTAAATAAAGTAAAAATTATAAGTGAAAAAAAGAAAGGTTTGACTTTTGACTGACAAGATAATCCATTTAGATGACAGTAACAAATGCCACGGCAGGTAAAGTGACAAGTAGAAAAAGCACATCTTGTAAGTAATCAAACTTATGTGGATATGGAAAAAGCGGAATTTATTGATTAATTTATACATAATATATAAATAAAGAATGCGCAAAATGGTTTGCATGGTGGACCGATTGCCACATTAATGGACATCGGAGGGTCGTTAGCGATCGCGTCTAAAGGTCTTAACTCGACAGGCGTGAGCACAGATCTCAATGTTAGCTATATAAGTGGAGCAACGTTGAATGATGTTTTAAAAATTGTAAGTCTGTTTTTTACTAGTTTACTATTTATTACTTATTAATTAATAGCTTGATTTGTTCGCTTGATAAAGGAAGGAAATTGCGAAAAGTTAGGAAAAACACTTGCGTACACCTCAATCGATATATATAATAAAGAAACTGGTAAGATAATTGCAAAAGGTCGACATACCAAATACGTTACCCTTGCACATTTAGATCCAAAAAATATATTAAAATTGTGAAATTATGAAGAAAAAAAAAATAATCCGCTTAATAATTAAAATGTTTATCGGATATGATATGCCACCGTTACAATCTCAGTTTTATAGATCCACACAAATACAAAAACCCATTGATTGATTGATTGATTGATTATTCTTCTTTTTGATTCCTTGTTCATTAATAAATTTTCGAATTCTTTAAGACTGATTTTCCAACCCAAGCTCGGTCTACCTTAACAATAAGAGATCCAACTTTTATAATGATATTCACAAAAACCCTGCCGTTATCATTTAAATCTCTCTGTAACCCAGAACAAAAATGGGAAAGTAACGCTACTAAGTCTTTTAAGTCAATGAGATACAAACAATGGGAAGATTTTTAGTAATAGTGAGATGATGTGTCACGCCATTATTGTTTCAAATAAACTCTAGCTTTGATAAGGTAAATAAGGCGTATCGCCATAGAATTTCAACCATTTTAACCCAAATGCGGAACGGTTAATGTTATTTTTTTAGCATGGAGGATCCTTGATCCAAATCTCGGGATCTGAATTGGTTTTGGCGTGGCATCCACGCAGAAACTATATTTGTGAATCATACCATAAATATTCATTAAATAAATATAGAGCATGTAATACATCCTTTGAATTATCCTTCGGATATTCATAACCAGCATGCCGATACATGTAAATGATACAATACATTCATAGATTAAAAAGAAACTGTCTTCTCGGCGATTGGTTACAACCGCATTTCCTAAAAAACCGTTGCGCAATAAATGGATCAAAAACCGAGGATAAAATTTTTCTTCAATTATCTGATAAAATTTTGTCGCGTTTCGCGTTACTGTGAAAAAGAAAGACTATTATTTATTATTGTATAGCAATTCTAGGGAAATAAAACACAAGCAAATCTAATAAAACTAGAACGAAATGACCACACCATACAGTTCTTTAATAATTGGCTGGCGCCTACAAGGTCGTCATGTTTTAATAGTTGGCGGAAATCAAGTCGCTGCCAATCGTCTGGATTTTGCGTTATCCGCAAAACCCGCAAAAATAACTTTAGTATATCCAAAACAAAAAATAACTTGCCCAAAGCTTTTAGAATGTATCGAGAAAAAGGGTGGAAGTGGTTTATTCACGTTTATTGATAAAGAATTTAACATTGAAATCCTAGATAGTGCTCCTGCGGTGGACCTAGTGCTGACCGCGGCAAATGACGCGCAGTTATCTCAGAAAATCGTGGCAGCAACGAGAGAACGACGTATTCCGGTGAACGTGGCAGAAATCCCACAGCTGTGTGATTTTTTGTTTATGCCCACGTATCGTGATGAGTATTTGCAGGTGGCCATTTCTACGAATAATTTTGTAGCAAGAAATATTGATAAGAAAAAAGGTGACCTTGCGTTGGTGACGCGAAAAATAAGGGAACATGTTTTGAACCATGTACCGAGTCACAAAGACATTATTGCTGCATCGAATAATCTTGCGTTATTAAGAAAGAATTTGGATGAGAGTGGTGGCAATATGTCATCGTTATCAAAAATTATCGATCCACTACCATTAGAACAGCTTGCTCAATTATCTGCGAAAGATATTGCAGCATTAACAAATGAAAATCACAATTCGCTATTGAGCGAGGGAACTTTCTCGGATATTGATGAAGCATCGTCAACTTTTTCAAGTGACGAAAAACAATCGGACATCACGTTTGTAGAGCAAGCGAATGATTCTTATAGTGATAATATCGAAGATAGATCGCTGATAAAATCGAACATTATCGATAATGAAAGATTAGGTGGGGATCGACTTGTCGACGGAAAAAACATCTTGATTGATGTCGAAATACAACCGTGGATTAAATCAAAAGTTAACGATAAAGTTTTGATTGGAAGATTAGGTGGAAATCAACTCGTAGATGGAAAAACAGCATTGGCGTATGTTGCGTATGCATTAAGTACGAATGCATTCATTTATCCGACTACAAGATCAGCATATATTGGAAAAGTGATTGAACATTGGTGTGCGAATAATGTTCGAAACGCATTTGGAAAGGTGGGGCAAGTTGAGAAAATGGATACTCGTGTTGGTACTGCCACGACAATTCTTGGAGCTGCAACCATGATGGCAGCATTCTCCTCACCCTTAAAAAACAAGGATTTCAATTTATCCTCGTATTGGCATTTTTCCGCATTTGCCACCTCGCAAACAATTGTAAATATGATCCCAAACCTGTACATACTTTCCGTTCAACATATTCCTTTAGTCATACACGTTGCAGCACAAGGACAAGATCACGAAATGAATAATACAATTAATTATCACGATGCATTACAAGCACGTGATACTGGCGTATCTATGATTAATTCTTTCACGGTACAAGAAACACATGACGTAGCATTGATTGCACATTTAGTTTCTGCTTTAACGGAGTCCCCCTTCTTACATATTTTCGACGGGATAAAAATAACACATGAATTAACAAAAGCTGATCTTTTATCTTATGATGATATCGCAAAATTATGGATAGAAATTAAGACGGAGGCAAATACGCTTAAGCAACAGCGTAACTCTCATAATTCGATCATCGACGCGATCGAAACAGTAGCAATTAAAGTCGGGCAAAAATTAGGGAGACATTATCGATTATTTGAATATATTGGGGCACATGATGCAGAGTCTGTCCTGGTGGTGTTGGGAGATGAGGTTGTCAGTGTACGAGAGACTGTCAATCGACTTTCACAATATGGCGGAAAAGTTGGTGCGATTGTTGTTCGAGTATATAGACCATGGTCAGTTAGACATTTCTTAAACATACTACCAAAAACGACCAAACGTATTGCTGTATTTGAACAAGTGGTGAATACAAAAAAGGGTTCCATTCGAAATAGTTCAACATTATTTACTGATATTTCGGCATCTTTCCAATCAGAAATTTGGGTTATTAGAAAGACTCCAACTCCGATAATAGTTGATGTGAAATACCCAATCACTCAAATTTTGAATGCACGAAAAATAAAACTTGCTCTTCATCAATTAGTCTCCGGAGTGAATATAGATCTAAATGCCGATCTATTATCGGCGATTGATATTCCGCCACCCTCACATAGTTTGAAGCAATGCATATTTTGGGACTCGGAACCTCTTGGAACTGTGCACACATCTGCACATATTGCAAACGTCTTCACAAATATTCCTCAACTAAATTTCTCGAGTCTATCAACTTATGACGTTTACAATAATGGGGGAGTTGCGGCTACACGTTTAAGATTTGGTCCCGATCGTATTTGTGGGGTGTATGACGGCGAATGTGGTGCTGATTATATAGGTATACACGATGCTAATCTCATCTCAAAATACGATATTTTGCATGCGGCCAAAGAGCGTACGATGGTATTATTGAATACTGAATGGGAGACTAGTGAATTGGCAATGAAACTATCAAATGATTTCAAGCATGAAGCCGCAACACGAAATATTCAATTGTTCGTTATTGATGCCCAGAAAATTGTTCGCGATATGGGATTATCAACATCTTCATCGACCGATGCTATTAATATCGTACTTCAGACAGCATTTTTAAGATTAAATAGTTATGCAAACCTAGATGAATCATTACAGGAAGCGATCGCTGATCACTATGACGGTGTGAGCGAGAAGGAAGTAACACGCATAGTCCGTGACATTGTAGAAAAAACGCAGGATGGTCTAGTTCGAATTGACATTCCATCTATGATATGGTCTCAGCTTGAAAAATCCAATCAAAATATACCTTGTAACATAGAGAATAATTCATTCAGCCCAAATCTTGACAAACCAAGCATTCAAAAGAGAGCAAAATTGGATAGCTGGCATAGAATTGCCCTCAATCTGTTATTCAAGGAAGCTTATGGACAAAAACAAAAAACTCGACCTGATCTTTCCGAAAAGACTTTTATTGTTAATGTTTCAGAGAATCGTAGATTAACCCCATTGACTTATGAACGCAATTTATTCCATGTTGAATTCGATATCAATGAAAATGACAAATTCACCTATAATATTGGAGAAGCACTTGGAGTTTATGGACATAATGACCCGGACGAAGTTAATCAATTTTTGCAATATTATGGACTTGAACCGAATGATGTGATATTAGTGCCATCTAAGGAAGGCAATCAATACGAGGCAAGAACGGTTTTACAATTATTCACTCAAGTCCTAGATATTTTTGGTCGACCACCGAAAAGATTCTATGAATCATTAGCAAAATACGCCAAGAACGAGACGGAAAAAAATAAATTACTATGGATTGCAAGTAGTGACGGATTAGAAGAATTCAAACGACGTGTCGATGACACAACTACTTTTGCTGACATATTTTACGAATTTCAATCTGCTCGACCACCCGCAGAAGATTTAGTGAATCTAATTACACCAATCAAACCACGACACTATTCAATAGCATCATCAAACAACGTACATCCGAATCAGGTTCACCTATTAATAGTGACAGTTGAGTGGTTAAATTCCATTGGTAAAAAAAGATATGGACAATGTACAAGATACTTATCCAAATTAAAAGTTGGTGAGAAAGTCACCGTTTCAATTAAATCGTCAGTGATGAAACTTCCTCCGCTCGACTCACAACCCATTATATTGGCTGGACTTGGTACAGGGATGGCACCATTCCGTGCCTTTATTGAAGAACGTGCGTACCGAAAATCAAAAGGAAAAAAAGTTGGTCCAATAATTTTATACTTTGGTTCGCGAAATCGAGCAATGGAATATTTATACGGCGAAGAACTGGAAGCATATCACGCCGAAGGAGTACTCACACATCTTCGTTTGGCATTTTCACGCGACCAACCCAAAAAAGTCTATATACAACATAAGATGCAAGAAGACGCACAATTGTTGTATGAATATCTCTTGAAAAAGGAAGGATGGTTTTACCTTTGTGGTCCCACTTGGCCTGTGCCGGATGTTCGGGATGCAATCACTGATGGTTTTGTGAAGGCTGGTCGGTTGTCTAAACGGGAAGCTAATGATTGGGTGAATAGGTTGAAGGATTTGGAACGTTACATTTTAGAAGTGTATTAATATATTTCTCTAAAGTCTCAATTTTGTAATTATTTCTTCGAGCATAATTGTTTAGCATTCCATTTTATTAATACTGCATTATATTAATATTAAATATACATCATATTTCACATTGCCTACGATATTGCCCAGTCTGAAAAAAATATGAAATTGTCCAACAATCTATATTTCTATAAATATCACATTTGTTGCTCATAAAAATCGGAAACCAATATCATAAGATGAATTATAAAACAAAGGTATCTAATCCCATTCGAAGTTCCAACCCTTACGAGTGATATATCTTACGTTTTTCGTTTCACTCAACTCATTTATCTGTTGGAAATCTTCCTCGGGAAGCACATAATCTTGAAAAACTTTTTCCGCAATAATATCTAATGCTCCATCCGTGATAATTGAAGTGCCACGTTGTACAGCCCATGCGGCGAGAACTTGAAATTTGCTTTTTTTGTTTTTTTCTGCGATTTTCGTGATGATCTCATCGGATCTTAATGATGACTTGCCAATACCAAAAGGTAAAGATGATGTTACATGAATGTTATGTGATTTGCAGAATTCCAAGAGCTCGTTCTATTACAAAAAATAAAAATTACTGAATTGTTCATGTACACCTACTATATAGAACGAATGTACCTTAAGGAAAACATACTTGAGGAAGATATGGATGCATTTCAACTTGATTTACAGCAGGTGGTATTTTCGCCTTTTTCAACAACTTTTCCAATCGTTTTATCCCAAAATTTGCAACACCAATAGCTTTGACTTGTCCTGACCTCACCAACGATTCCATTGCGAGATAAGTATCTACGAAATCAATAGAGTCATCTATTTCAGCTGGAGCTTTGGATTTCTTATCAGGGTTCTCTGGATTATTTTTGGCTTCCAAAGTCTCTGTTACTTTGGCCTCCGACGTCTTTGTCTCTTTAGCTTCCGAAGCTTTGTCGGTTTCTGAGGTCTTTACTCTTGTTGCATCTTTGAGTGCTATAGGCCAGTGCATCAAGTATCTAAAAGATAATTAATCAATTGATTGTCATTACCAATTCATCATCCTCATTTGTAAATAATTATAAAAAATGTATGAATAGTATATATACAAATCATAGTAACGCAATTTACTACGCCCCAATGAGGCTTCACAAGATTTCGTTACTTGTTCTGGAAGATGTTGATTATTCCATAACTAACATATATGTTAACATAATGGATTAATTATAGAAAAGAGAACAAAGCTAAACAATAATAAACATGTACACCTTTTGCGTTATAAAAATATCTTCGCGTTTAACTTTTGACGAGCGGACTCCCCCTCCCATAGGACCATCGTTTGTATTCTAATTATTTATAATCAATAATATACTAAATAAAATACAAATATCAAAAAAAAAACGTATCAAACATTATAGACCGTGAAATTTACATAATGTGAGGTGTCAATATGACGAAATCCAAGGTTTAAAAATTTTTTTACTTTGTATTGCAAAGGATAAACCGAGCCTTTATAAAACGAGTCTTTAGAATCCCTTGAAATCACTGATAGCGCTGGTACTCCCAAACCAACTAATTGTAGAGATATTACGTTATTCCTTTTGTAATTGATATCTATATTCACTTTATTTTGAATTACACACGCAAAAGAAAAAGGTACATACTAGCAGGAATCAACGCGTCTGTATTAAGTTTAAAAGTTCGCGCCAAAGCCATTGTCAAAAAATTTCTTTTTAATTAATCATTTGAATCGACATTAAAACGCGCGTAAAAAAATGATGCAAAATGAGTAATAATTATACTATTAATCTGACCAATTGTCAGTTTTTGTTTTATGTACAAAGTCACTCTTTGATATAATGAAGTATTAGTCCTTCATTATATCACAGGATCGTTATAGTGTCTTGTAATTATTAAAATATCAAGATCGGCAGCGAATTGTCGCTTTGACGTAAATCATTAACCAACGAGAAATTTTTAGAAATGAAAAATACGGATTGCGAACTCATAGTTTTTAATATGTGTGATATTAATTCGTTATTACAATAAAATCATATCTAAATTTTTGCCGTTTTGGTCAAGTTCGTATGTTACACCTGATCTCTGTGATTGGATGAAGATCGCTTTTAATGGAAAGAAGCTTGGTTGAACCAACAGGAGAGACTGACCTATTTTTAGAAACTATTACATAATATATTAAAAAATTTTTATATACTTTTCAAAAGGATTGCGTAACTATGAAAGATGCATAAAAGTACTAAGCAAATTTGAAGCTTTTACATTATAGAGTAATATTATACATTGAATCTATTTGAATCCAACAATTATTAACATGTCTGAGAAAAAGAAGTATATCAAATGCCAAGTTGAAGAATCAATCAGATTTCAATCATTAAATGGAGACAAGTGAAGAGAAGTTAAAAATAATAATCTAGTAAAGGTAATATGAAAAGAAGATATTATCTTGTGTAATTCATATTATATGTATTTTGTAAAAAATTCATTGCAAAGAGATTCTAAGTGAAAAGATTACAAATGAGAAGATAATTATATTTAATATAAATAAAGAGATAAGTACATCTAATATAAAGCTTGTTCTTTTTGAAGTTATTAAAAAGATGGCAAAAATTCTTTATGAAAGAAAGCATGTAAAGAAAAAAGATCCTATTTATGTATTTGATAAAATGTGAGAATTATTAGAAGAAAGTAAATCTGTTTTGAAAGATTTTTTTTAGCAACTTTATTTAGTAGCTTGATCTTCTAAATGTAATAATTAAATAATAAATTATATAAAGAAGATAATGATATTGTTACCATTTTAAGATTATGCATATATAATTATTTTAAAATAGTAATAGTGACTGTATTCATGGTAATTATTTACTTTTATAGGTCCAAGAGGGTTATATGACTAACTATTTTCTGAATAAGGTAATATGTGTAAGATTTATAACTGACAAATTATAATTATCTTTTCAATAAGATAATTTATATGTGTTTTACTTATATCAAAAATATGATTATCTTCTCAATAAGATAATATACGTGAATTTTACTTGTAACAAAATATAATTATCTTTTCAATAAGATAATATATGTGAATTTTACTTGTAACAAAATACTCTCTCAATAGAGCAAGAAGAAAATAAGATAAGATATAAGATAAAATATGTGTATTTATTAAAGAAA